TTTTGATCAGTGAAACGTTGTTTGAGCAGCGGAGCGGCAAAATGTGAGTGTTTATTGGCCGTTTTTCACAACCTTCTATTTGCTCCCGTTTACACATACAAATTCCGATTTGCACAAAACTTGAATCCATGGTTCAACTCTAGGGTCTAGGTCATTTGAAAGTGAAATAATTGAACTTGGCTCATTAACGCCCCCTACAGACTATTTCAGAGTTTTTAGTATGAAAAACTCTGAAAACTTTGACTCCATCTGTAGGGGCACTAATGAGCCAAGTTCTTTTATTTCACGTTTAATTGACCTAGACCCTAGAGTTAAACAATGTATTAAAGTTTTGTGCAAATCAGACTTTGTATGTGCAAACGGGAGCAAATTTAATATTGTCCAAAACGGCCAAAAAAAGGTCACAATTTGCAGCTCCCCTGTTTGAACAACGTTTCACTGATGAAAAATCGCCGAAGTCATTTTCAAGGTACATGTGTTGAGATGATGTGGAGCGATTTTGAGGCGAATCGGTGAAACGGCCGAGGTGAAGTCGCTTTCCAACCGACATGTATGAAAATGATTGCTGTTCATTTTTCCATTTTGCAGTGAAATTTATGGGCTTCCTGTATGTCAGAGGGCGGGGCCATAATAACATTTTTTTCATGTCTTGACTTGAGGAACATGTGTACCGAATTTCATGGCTCTACGACAAACTTGACCTCCGAAAAATCCCATGGGGGTTATTATTAGGCCCGAGCCCCGAACGGGGAAAGGGCCTATTGTTTTTGCTCGAGAGATGTCAAATTCTGCACTTTGAGCCTTAATTTCACCCCCTGAACATGCATGAAAAGTTGTAAAATTTTGACCAAACATCAGACCTGGTGAAAAATTTGATATTTTGGTGTTTATTTTTATGGGACTCAAAAAATGCCAGAACAGCGCCACCTACAACAGCCAATGGGAGTTTCAGAGGTCAAGTTTGTCGTAGAGCCATGAAATTCGGTACACATGTTCCTCAAGTCAAGATACGACCGAAATGTTATCATGGCTCCGCCCTCTGACAAACAGGAGGCCCATAAATTTCACTGCAAAATGGAAAAATGAACAGCAAAAGTTTTCATACATGTCGGTTGGAAAGCGACTCCTCCTCGGCCGTTTCACCGATTGGCCTCAAAATCGCTCCACATTGTCTAAACACATGTACCATCAAAATGACTTCAGGGATTTTTGATTAGTGAAACGTTGTTTGAGCAGCGGAGCGGCAAAATGTGACCTTTTTTTGGCTGTTTTTGACAACATTAAATTTGCTCCCGTTTGCACAAACAAAGTCTGATTAGCACAAAACTTTAATACATTGTTCAACTCTAGGGTCTAGGTCATTTGAAAGTGAATTGATTCAAATTGACACATTAGCGCCCCCTACAGACTATTTCAAAGTTTTAGATGGGCATTTTAAAATTTAGTTTTTTCAAAATGTTTGAAATTTTGTGCATACATCTGTGTTGCCCTCTTGATTCAAAAAGTCAATAGGGTCCAAGGCTTATTTTTTACCCTGGTGCCGTGGCGACGAGAAACGCTCCCCATTCATTGCAAATGTACACCTCACACAAACATCAAACCAGCCTCGGCCGTTTCACCGATATTCGCCTCAAAATCGCTCCACATCATCTCAACACATGTACCATCAAAATGACTTCAGGGAATTTTGATCAGTGAAACGTTGTTCGAGCAGCAGAGTGCCAAAAAGTGGCGTATTTTTTTTCAGTTTTTGACAATAGAAATTTTTTTTCCGTTTGCACAAACAAAGTGTGATTGGCACAAAACTTGAATCCATGGTTTAACTCTTGCGTCTAGGTCATTTGAAAGTTTAAATTTTGAAATTGGCTCTATAGCGCCACCTACAACAGCCAATTTAAAAATGCCTATGGGATGGGTTTGAGGTCAAAATTGTCGTAGAGCCATGTCATTTGGAACACATGTTCCTCAAGTCAAGACATGGATAAAATGTTATAATGGCTAAGCCCTCTGACAAACAGGAAGCCCATAAATTTCATTGCAAAATGGAAAATGAAAACCAATCATTTTCATACACGTCGGTTGGAAAGCGACTCCTCCTCGGCCGTTTCACCGATTGGCCTCAAAATTGTTCCAAATCATCTCAACACATTTACCTTCAAAATTACTTCAGGGAATTTTAATCAGTCAAACGTTGTTTGAGAAGCGGAGCGGCAAAATGTGAGGGTTTTTTTGGCCGTTTTTGACAACATAAATTTTTTCCCCGTTTGCACAAACAAAGACTGATTTGATTAAACTTGAATCCATTGTTCAACTCCAGGGTTTAGGTCAGGTGAAAGTGAAATATTTGAAATTGGCCCATTAGCGCCCCCTGCAGACTGAGTCAAAGTTTACATGGGGAGCCAAACCAGCTCTACTTATCATATTCATTACAATTTGACTAAGTTCTTCTATGGCTACGGGATCCAATCATCACACGGCGGCGCCACCCAGGCCCGGACTGGCCATCGGGAGCATCGGGAGATCTCCCGGTGGCCTGCGTGTCAAAGTGGCCTGGGCCTGCCCTATCATCACGGTCTTTTATTTTTTTTGTTTGTTTTTTTTAATTTAATTTCATCCTCACGGTCTTTGCAAACTCCTACCCTGCCTGGTGGCCTGGTCCAATGAGCAAGGCCCAGGCCAAAGCCAGTGTTGCGCGTGAACGAGTTCAAAAGAACGCGTTCATTGAACACGCTCATTTTTTCGTGAACGTTGAACTGAACGCAACACATTTTTAATAAAGATCTTGAACGTGAATTAGTTCATATTATGTGTCATGAACGGCAGACAATTTGTTTTCCATTTAAAACTGAGTGAAATCTGTTTTCTCTTTTGAAACGCAACGAGAGAAAGTTCCTCCCTCCTGTATTCTCCGCACTGTTTCCGCCGAAAACTAAAAATTCCTACGGTTTCCACCGTCTGTGAACGCACCCCGACTCAGTGTACTTGCGGTGCGGCGCTATATGCTAGTGCTATTCATTGGTTGTTGGACTCACATGTGCCGTGATGAAAACACAGGGGTAAGTCAGTGACACAGGGCCGTTTACATTTGACATAAAGTATAGACACACGTTCTGCAGCGCATTACAGTTTGTACTTATGAGCAGAGATGGGACAACTCAGTTCCCATTGAAACCCATGTAAATCTTGTCTGCATTGGAGTCAAAACATCCTGTGCAGTGTACAGGATATATATATATATATATATATATATATATATATATATATATATATATATATATATATATATATATATATATACCACGTATTGTGATTTCTAGCTCGTAGTGAAAAAAAATATTTATTTGAATATCTCGCAAAAAGTAAAATGAACTGAAATTTGAACTAGTTCAGAATTAAAATTGAGAACTTCGAACGTGAACTGTTCACTTTGAGCATGTATGAACTGAACTTGAACTAGTTCAGAAAAGCTGTGAACTGGCACAACACTGGCCAAAGCTTTACTGTCATTGGGCCAGAGCAAAATTAAACAAATGTGACGTCACACGTCGGCTACACAGCCAGGCCAGCCTAGCAGTGCACCCAGTGTAGCTTCCCCGGTTCAAATGAGTGGTCTCTCCAACTGATGGTTCATACACGTTTTTATTTTTCCTTTTATATGAGCTGTAACGATGTGATTTTACCTTACTACTTTTTTTACAATAATTGATTAGCTTGTTATAGTTATACACTAATGAACACTTAGTTCATTGTGTGTGTGTGTGTGTGTGTCTTTATTCTCACTAAACTCCATAAACGTTACGTTGCTAAGCAACGTACAACAATCCTTAAACGTCCGAGATTATATAAACAGTCAATATAAAAAAAAATAAAGAAAACAAAAGTTTTGACAGTCAATCTTAAAACTATTAAAAGAACATCAAAATACAATGACAAAAACCCAAATTTAGAACCTTGCTTGGCCTGAATGGATGAAAAGCTCCCGGCCTGAAATGTTGTCCCACTCCGGCCCTGGCGCCACCTCCTATGCGCGGTGCTGCGTGGTATGGTGTGGTGCGGTGTAGTGCGGGGCGTTGTGGAGCAGTGTGTTGCGGCTTGGTGCGGGGCGGCGTGATGCGGGACGGCGTGGTGCGGGGTGGCTTGGTGCGGGGTGGCTTGGTGCGGGGTGGCTGGGTGCGGGGCGGCGTGGAACGGAGTGGTGCGCGCGGTGCGGGGATTCGCGCGGTGCGGGGGTCGCGCGGTGCGGTGAGTCGCGCGGTGCGGCGAGGGCCGTTCGACGCCGCTTGCGGCTTTAATTTTTATTGTTTTTTCAAATCATTATTATAGTCTCGCAGCGTCTTCTTTCTCTATGTGAATTGTTGAAAATGGCTCATTGAATGTAACACTCCACAAACAGCTGTGTTTTGAACAAGTACTACCTGAGAGCCTTGAGCTGTATTTAAGATGTCAGATCATATGGAGAGAAGAATGCTCATGTACAGCTGTGTGAGGATCCCACAAAGATAAGAAAAGGGTTGGATGCATGGGGAGATTGCTGAAAGAAGCAATGTAATGAAATAAAAAAAGAGACAGGTGTAAGTGAAACTAATTTGCTAGTAGTTTGAGAAAGCATCGCACAAACAGATGCCAAATGAGACTCCAGTCAGCAGGTTGGACAGATATCAAATAGCAGTCTCAGTACTGACATCATCTGGGCATGATCACACTCTGATGGACCATGAGACACATCGCGCTTTGCAAAGGTATGAAAGCCAAACGAACAGAAGATAATATTTTTTATCAATAATGGGTTTTGACCTAAGGCAAGAAACTTGACACAGGTTGTGAGTGTGAGTGTGTGTGTTTGAATGATTGGTGGTGGTCAGAGAATCTGAACTAGAATTGCAAGCAAGCAAATCATTGACATCACTGATATAAAATTCCAAATAATTTTTTCAAAAGGCTTAAATCGCAAGCCTTTCCCATCCATGCCAAAATAAAATGGAATAATGATAAAAACTCACCAATTCAGCCTGGAGTTTTAGAATCAGCTCGTCCTTCTCCTTCAACTGCTGCAATAAGGCCTCCTCTCTGCTGGGATCCTGAGTAGATACACAAAAGATCAAATGTTACAAAATACTTCTTTACAGCATACAGAGGATCTCTGAGAGCTCCGGACTTTCTCATGTTCTCTGGAAGTATTGTTTAGAAATTGCTTTCAACTGTAATTGCAACTGCAGGACACTTTGATGCAGAATTTGGAGCAGGATGAGAACACAGCAGATGTTGAATCCACTGTGTTACAACTGGAGCCTCCTCTTGTGTGCTGTAAAACCTTTTTCTCTTATATCACTGCACTTTAATAAGGACGCTGGACGATTGTTCGGTTTAAGGATTTACAACCAGCTGACATGAACTTCTCACCACTTAGGATGAGCACAGATAAGGTTATACTGTACATATTGATTAGGTTTGATTAGGGGTCAACAGATTATTCACCGCACCGATTATCTGCACAGATTGTGGACCCATGTTTTTGTTTCCAGTGTCGGTTGACAACAAAACAATTCAAATCAACACAAACATCAAATCAACACAAACATTTAGTAGTCAACTGCACAACATCACACATTAACACAGCCCTCTTACAGCCCTTGATAAAAAGCTCAAAAGTTGTGCAAATTCTGTACAATTTTGTCCGAGCACAGTTTTAAGCTCGGAGTTTGATATTCTAATTTTGCAAACATATAAAACCTCAATATTAGCTTGTTGACATTTTATCACCCGCCTCTTCCCAGGAGAACCAAAGACATTTAGTGATTTATTTAAGCCTTCATATTCCCGCAAAAGCAATACATTGAGCCCAAAAGGACGCATGTGTACTTGGCAGAGCAGTGTCCATAAATGTTTACGTGTGTTCTATGTGGTTTTATGAGCAGGTTTGTTATTGTGGTCCATGTGAGGGTCTAATAAAGTTGTCATACGGAGCATGCTGGAGGGACTCTGATCTCCTCTCCTCACTACGAGCAGTGATAAACTTGTAGTGTCCTATAGAGCTAGCCTCAAGCCTGTTCCTCTTTAAGATGACCTTGTGGATTCACAGGTTTTATAGTGGAAAAGAAACACTCACAACGGAGGGGCACTAATATATAATTTGTAATGCAACTTTGTTGAGTATACTTTTTTCTTTTTTCATCATGATCTGATACCAGTAGGTTGCATTTAGATTGCGGATATAACTTTTTATCACACTCCGTAATTCCTGCAGATTCTGGTCAATTAACTTTGAACATAATCATCATGTTAAAAAGTGTTTACGAATTAAATCTTATGTTTGGAAGAGACGAGTGTATTAATCATGTATACATATAGTTTAATAATTTTAAGCTGAAGCCATGAAAAAATTCTGTTTATCCTCGTGTTCAGTGTAATACTATTGCAACATGGGATAACAAAAATTAAATGTATGCCCATTTTGGGCATCTAATCCGAGCAGATCTGAATATAGTGATCATATAAAAGACACAGGATGCAGATGAATCAAATATTAACGTCATAGAAACTGGAGGAAAAGTAAATGACAGCGAGTCGGCCATTACATCCTCAAGGACGACTAAATGGGGGCGAGATAACATGAGCAAAACCGGAAGCAAAGGGGACAGATAGGAGGAGGCAGAGGACACACACAGCCCCAGGCAGATGCTTTGAAAAATCAGGGAGCCAAGGAGCCAAGGAGACACACACACATACACATACACAAGTGCACCCGTACCCTAACTTTGACCTGCAAGATTCCAGTGTAAATTTTATTTATGTCATTTAAAAGAAATTTAGTTCATAGACAAAAAACAAAATAAAAATTCCAAATAAAGAATGTGAATTGTTATTTAATTAAAGTGTTGACTAGTGATGTAATCCTTCAACGTTGTCTGATGGAGGCCTATAGCTGTTGGCTACCTGAAAATGTTTTATGAAGATAAAGGCAGATAAAAATAGTTTAGAATTTATGGCAATAGAAAATATACCTTACATTTCGAATTGTTACAATTCATTGCTGAAAGAAGCAGCCTGTAAGGAGATGTGCATTATGCTCCCTGGAGGCTTTTCTAAGCCATTTCTCAAGACTGAATTACAGAAAAAGGCTAGGAGGAAAGAGCGCGATGTGAATTCAGTTTTAATGTGATTGGAATCATCATGGTTGTGGAGTGCAACCACTTCATGTGATTTTGTACAGAGGCTATGGCTCACTTTATTCTGCAATCAGTAGCCAGCTGAAGGGGGCAGGACAGGATTACATACACTTAGAAATTAGACACTTTCAAATTTAATAAATGTAAGAATATAGCAATTAACTCGAGCAGTGTTAAAAGAGGATAGTTAAGAAAAAAGGACTGGACTCATCAAATTCAGATTTTTGGTGAAATACTGTATATCAGTGATTCCCAAACTTTTTCTGCTGGGCCCCTCCTTTGGTACATAAAAAGTGCAAAAAAGGGTTTTAAACCATGACCAACTCAGAGAGGAAAACAAAAACAAAAACCTAAATGGCACCTCTAATCCTCATATCTTTTCACTGACTGAGCTGGTCAAATCTGGGTTGCAATTTCTTGTCCCGCACTCCCCCTGCAATTTGTCTGTGCCCCCATTTTGGGAACAACTGCTGTATATAGCGAGGTCTAATTTTACCACTTTTTTCATAAATCACCTTTTTTTTTCAAAACTAGCAATCAAATTATAGTAACTTGACCGAGTAAGTCTGCGTTACCTACAACGTGTACGCTAAAGTGTTTGCGTTTCAGCTCCAGAGTTAGCCTGGCCTTACCCATCCATAAACACCAGTTAATTATTATTTCCCTAAATGTACGTCTGGGTCTCAGATTCAGTTTTATTTGCCATTTGCAGTAAAAACACCACATTGGAATACATTAGCAAAAAGTCTCCAGTATGCACAGACAAATACAGACATAAAACAACATTAAAAGACAAAAATAAAACAAATAAAACAGTAAACAAATGTCACTGTGAAATCGATCGACTAAAACAGTTTCAAAACAAGTGAAAATCATTAAAGTGCTCTGTTCACACTGATAACAGCTTGTGGATAAAAACTGTTAGCGTAACGAGATGTCCTGCATCTCAGAGAGCGATATCTTCTGCCAGAGGGAAGAAGCTGGAACATGGCTTTCCCAGGGTGGCCAGAAGAGTCTTGACAATCCTAAGAGCTTTGTTTAAAAGTCTGGATTTATAAAGAACCTCCAGAACAGGAAGCTCACAGCCCACGGTCCTCTTTGCAGAGCGGAGCACCTTGTTTAAAGATCTCTTTTCTTTATCTGTGATGTTTCCAAACCACACAGACACAGAACCAACAAGTAAACTCTCAATGGTGCAGCGATAAAAGTTAAGCAGAATCTTAGAGTTAGTGGTAAATTCTCTAAGTTTACGCAGAAAGTAGAGACGCTGACGAGCTTTCTTAACGACTCGGTCAGTGTTTTTAACCCATTTCACGTGCACTCCTCTACGATCTTCACCTGGGAGTTGTCGATTACGACAGGCAAATGAGAACTATTGCGACTGAAGTCAAACACAAGTTCACATGTTTTCGATGCGTTCAACTGGAGGTTGTTAAGTTTTACTCCACTGAACCACATTTTGTATCTCTGCTCTATAAGAGGATTCATCAGTGTCACTGATGAGACCGATGATGGTGGTGTCATCAGCATATTTGATGATCAAGTTTCAGTCAGAGGAAGACACACAATCGTGAGTGTACAAAGTAAAGAGCAAAGGACTCAAAATACATCCCTGAGGAGAACCAGTGCTCACAGAAACAACATCAGAAAAACAGTCATTGATATTCACTCTCTGAGATCTGTCAGTTGAAAAGCAAAAAATCCACATGGCATTTACACATGGCAACACTTAAACCGAGAGACATGAGCTTTTCAATCAGTTTACCTGGGACAAGGCAGTTAAAAGCAGAGCTATAATCGATGAAAAGCAGGTGTTTCTCTCACTGTTGTGAGGCTCTGACCGGTGCAGCAGATGTTTGCAGAGGGGATTATGTGAGACTGGCCGTCCTCAGAAACAGCCTATAAACCGAGCGGAGGGGCAGACGAGAGTGGCAGCTTTACACTGTCCAAAAAGACATTTATGACTCTCTGTTTATTTTTATCCATCTTTATTACTGCCTCTAATACACTCCCTTTACCGGCTTCCTTGGTGTCCTTGACTATGCTTTTGTCAATGCACATTACAAAGACTTGTCCATACAAGTTTAAATTAGGTCAAACGATACGCTCACATAAATTATATAATTTTTCTATGTTCCTTAGACAGGCCCGTCGGAGGAGCTGTGCGACCTGTGCCATCGCACAGGGCCTCGCACCACACAGGGCCTCGCAATCGCAATCGCAACCTTATTTTTATTTTATTTTTTATTATTTTTATTAAATACACTAGTTCAAGGGTCCGCAAAGGCCGGACTGCGGTCCAAGTTCGGATCCCGAGACCCCTTTCTTTGGACCTCCATGATTTTTTTGTTCAAAAGTACATAAGTAAAGTCAAATTTTCACCAAAAGCAATTTGTAAACAGGCAGGCGCGAGGGCAGCTATGTACGGAGCAGGTCTTTCGGAAAAAAACTTTACGGAGCTGTCAGATAACTTTAGCAGTGTTTGAGTGAGGTAGGAAGAAAGTAACAGGAATGAGCCCAGTGAACAGAGAGATGGATACTCTGTCTTCTGTGTGAGGAGGAGGAGGAGTAGCGAGACAGGTGTGTGAGCAGAGGAGCAGACCCCTTTGTGTGAGCAGAGGAGGAGGAGGAACAGTGAGACAGGTGTGTGAGCGCTGTTATTGCCAATGTAAAAGATAAGATAGACTTTATTGATCTCACAAAAGAAAAATTTAGACTGTATGCCCATCTATAAAGCCCACTGCAAGTGAGAAATAAAATACAACAAATATTGACTCCGCCTCATTTTGCCGTAATCTAACTATTAGAAGAAGAAGAAGACTCCTTTTGGTTCAATCTTTTGAGTTGCTCTGCCATTTTGCCACAAGACCAAAGAGCCATGTCAGCTAAAAAGGCCGGGACCAATATTGCAA